AAAGACCACCGACGCTGTCACCACGGGCGCATCAGCGCGCTAGTTTTGATGATCAAAGTTCTCAATCAGCATTGTGGCGTTTGATGCCAGATTTAGGGTTTGCGCGAAGAGGACCCGCCATTCGTGCTCCCTCCCCTCCCTCGCTGCGCTCGGGGGGTCCCCCGAGCCGGGAGCACTCAGGCGGGCACTCTAAAGCCTCGTTCGCGCGATAAATACAGACGGCCTCCCCTTTGGGGGAGGAGGAGGTGTGAATAGCGCCTAACCCAAACCCGAACCCGAACCCTAACCGAACCCAAACCCAAACCCAAACCCTAATCGAACCCTAACCGAAACTCTAACCGACGCGTATCACTAAGACCGCGTGGGTTGGGAGGTTTGATACCTCTCTGGCCCGATATCCCAGAGGTTTGCATACCTCGTTGTAGTCTCTACCCTGAAGGTGACCTTGCGAGGAGGATCTACAAGAAAGGCAGGTTGGAAGCTTCAGAAGCGCTGCCGTACTGCGCACAGCTCGTATGTGCTGCTCACGGGTGTACGCATACAACGTCGTCGCTGATCATCGGGTTAGGTACTCGCTTTGGAACAGCTGCACAACCGCCGTATCATACATCGCGACCTCAAGCCAGCGAACGTCCTCATCACTCGTGACGACAACCTCGTGCTCTCTGACTTCGGCTTATCCAAAGCGTATGGTCTGAGCGCCGAGCAGCAACCTTGGAGTCTGCGGGAGGAGTGGGCCTCGCATCACGCCCGTCCTCGAAAGTCCGATATGGCAGACGTATCCCGACGCGACTGCGGAACGACGGGGTACATGGCTCCGGAGGTCTCTCGGGGCGACTGGTACACGTACTCTGCTGACGTCTTCAGTCTCGGGGTCGTGTTCTTTGAGATGATTCACGGCAAGGTGGGGATTGGAAGCATGGGAGACACGGAGCTTGCCGACTCACTCGTTCGCGTCAGCTTCCTTACGGTGTCAAGTGCAGCGGCGCTCGCGACCAGCGGGTGGTGTACGAGAGGATGATGACACAACCTGTCGTGGTGAGGCCGGAAATCGGTGGAGAGGCCCGTGACTTACTCTCTTGGGTTTGTTCTTGTGAGATATATGACATGGAGCGAACGGTGAATTTGGCTTTTGTGCAGATGCTGAAGAAGGAGCCGTCGCGTCGGCCGACCTTGGAACAGATCAAGAATCATCCCTGGTTCACCGCAGTGTGAGTTGCTGTGTCGTTTCGTCCTCCCTTCATGTATAATTCTAACACATCTTCTTTGCGTAGGAAATGGAAAGAGCTGGCGCGCAGAAAGCAACCCTCTCCATTGCGACCCTCCAACAACTTCCCACCTGTATGTTCGCTTCTGACCATGTTCGTTCAATGTCTTGGCTGAGATCGTGGTGCGACTTGTCTTACAGTCGAGCACCCCCAAGATATCTTTCGGGACGCCATACGCGGAGGGTGAAACCCCTCACTGGTGGTACCAGTGGCTCTGTCCTACGTTCCCATTGCAAGTCTCCGCCAAGTCCCGCAAGTCCCGTCGCATGAGCACGGCTTTTACGCCACTCCCTGCGGACCAGATACAGAGAAGCGCTAGTTTTCCTGCTCATCTTTCCGCCGTCTTCGCGTCCCGAGGGGCGCAGCTACCGCAGACTCCATGGATGTTGCTCACGCCGCCCCTTACGCCCACCGTAGCGAACGAAGGGTTCACTCGAGGGTCTGGGCACGGGCAGAGCCAGTCGCTCGCTGTTCCGCGTCCGTCGCTTGGGCGGCGTTCGTGCTCGGCAGCGACCCTTGTCTCGGAGGGTAGCCACGTGAACCGCATTGCCCAGAGCCAGGACGAGAAGCGATTGGCACATACATCTGGCGATTCGGACTTCCATTCGATCAAGCTCAGCTCTCAGAGTCGTACGTTCACTGCGACTTCCCCACTACTGGAGCCAGTGACACCTTCGCTCCCGCCCGCCACTGCTGATGATTGCCCAGTTTCCTTTTTAGAGCGTAGTGAGGACCTGGACGAGTCCAAGCCACACATGCTTCCGCCAACCACTACGCCCCAGAAGGTGTCCGCCTTGGTCGCGCGCGTGTGGTCTGTCCTGAGCGGGGTGCATATTGTGCGTCATGAGAAAGGTATGAAACCATTGAATGCCCTAGACTGATTGCGCATATTGTCACGACCCTTCTGAGAGCTTCTTTTGGCTAACTTGTGTTGAACCGTAACTGCTTCTCTATATCGTGATGTATTAGAACCTCAGACAATGCACTATGTGGCTATCGGCCTTGATGCCTATGTCTCTCATGGTAGTGTCGTTGATTCCCTCGTATCCTGACTAGTTGCACGTCAGTATGCTCGGGTGCTTTCCGGATGCCAACATCGGTGAACTCGAAGCCGCTTGCAGTTGTGTTGTCTGGGCGACTTCGACCTTCCAACTTCTCAATATGTGCGAGCTTATGCATATTCACGGATATAAGCCGCAGGGAAGCGGCCCAGTATGGGATCCAGGGAACGCACAGCATGTAAAGACTCATCAGCCAGCGGGAATGCTGCCGGATGAGTGAAGGTTGATAGAGCGGTTTACTGCTTTGACAGAATTGTAATGCATTAGCAATTATGAATACATAGTGCTTTCGACTAGATAGTGGGCGATCTAATCCCGCCCACAGCTCGCAAAATTCTTATGCAATGCACATACAAAATGGAAGCGCACAAAAATGGCCTCTACTTTTTGGAGGCGTGTATCGTTTCTCGGAAAATGCTCGTGATCCTTGTTCACTACCTGGTTGAGCGACACTTCAGTCACAGACTTGTCAAGAGACGTGGCGAATTTCTGCTCGAAACAACCTTGGTCCAAGGTACTAGGGTAGTTTTTCTCGAAAACAGTGAATGTGTCCTGTATGAGGTGAGTCCTGTATTATCAGCGGTTGTAAGAAAGCTCACCCCGTACCTTGTCAATGGACCAGTGATAGGCATCAAAATACTGATGCATGTCCGAGCGCAGAAGGAACGCGTTTCCGGATCGATCGGCTCCCTCGGCATTTGGAGCACGGTTGACAACTCCCCCGTAACCGCAAAGTTTCATGATGTGATTTCCCTTTTTTGTCAAAGTAAGCTGAATGTTCAGTAAGTTTGGAGCGACTCTGACCATCTTTGAAGCATATGCATGCGGATATATATGGGCTACCTCAAGCGAGATCCAGTCATCACCACGACCACGATGAACATACTGATGTGATGACACTTGGCAGTGCTTGTCACGATCCCGCACCACATCGACCATTCCTTGAAACTGTACAGATGTGAGCTCTTAGTGATAGAGCAAAATCGACGGAGAAAAAACCCACCCTCCGTTCCCCACTGTGAATGGTTCCGAATGACGGATCAAAGATACTTCTTGCAATTACAGGCCTCGCTCTGGGATCTGCCTGAATCAATGTAGGACTCTCGGTCTGGAAATAACCCCAGAATAATATGTAGTGTCCTTCAGCACATGGCTCAATGGAATCTCGCTCTATGTATGAATTCTCCAAGGATTTTGAGACTTCATCTTGACTTTGTTTGTACTTCGGGAAGGTTCCGGTTCGGCTTCGTGGGTCTGGCGTGACTTTGCCAGGATCAAGCCCAAGGAGGTCCCCCAGTTTAGCCAGCCCAAAGCATTGCTCCGCATCACCCTGACGCAATGGTGGTGGAAGTACTACATCTTCGTCTTTGAATGAGAATCGCGTGAGTCATGTTCCTACAACAGTTACGAATATGCTAATATTCACCATCGGGGGTGGGTTTGAGTATGAGCGTTAACCACTCATATAAAGTTTTGTACGTTACTCGATTGTCGCGCTGATAAAACCCTACAATGTCACAGCTTCAGTGCTATCCTAAGTATGCTGTACAGTTTCTTACCGGCCACCACTTCTCTATATGAGGATCCCGGTCGGTGCAAGGCCCATATGTGTACATTCCGTTGGTCCTCGTTGTGGTAAAGTAACCGCGGTTTCTTAGGATCGAATTCTTCGGCGTGGTGCATCTCGAGGGAAGGATGGGAGTGGTTATGCTGGAAATATCTGATGAAGGGTGTGTCGAATGAGCTGTAGGTAGAATCGTTTGAGTACTTATATACATTACCCTTGTAAATAAGTTAGAAACCGACATGACCACAATCTGAACCTGTATGACGTCCATCATCACACTGCACATAGTAGTGAACAAATGATCGCTGCCTCTCAGTAACCACTTGTCTCTCTGATCGATACATCTGCCGCTCAAGGGTCAAAATGGAAGTAGAGAAGATGTGACTATGGATGCCACTGCTAATCGGGTCATCCCAAGAAGATTGATAAGTCTGAGGTCTCAGAAAGACTGTCAGGGTGACCACACAGGGCCCGATACCTCTGTGATGTAAGTCAGACCGATCATCTCTGCGGCATTCCGGTAAGGGAGCCCCCTTGAGAAAAAGCTCCGAGCATTCTTTCAGATGCTTCTGGTTCACGGTGCCTTGCAAAATGATAGCGCATTCCCGAAACACGCGCCCAGGAGGTAGGGAAACCAAGCACTCAGTTGCTACGGGCCGCTGCTACCCTGCCACTCTGTTCCTCGACCTCTATCGATGTCATGCAGAGCTGAGTTGATCACCGCGGCATCTTATGATAACATGGGAACTTTTCAACAAAATTTTGGCACACGTTGTAGAGATGAACGAGATTAATGCACCGTCAAAGACCTGCCTTTGTGGCGGCGAAGCGCGCAGCCAAGGGAAAGTCAAGCGCGCCCAAATCCCTTCCCCCCCTCCTCCGCAAATCACTCCCTGTGAGTGCGACCAAGACGAAGCAGGTGCACCTAGAAGCCCTCGTCGAACACAATGCGAAGCAATGGAAGGCCTCCAAACGCGGCTGCAAGCTGCATCTCATCGACCAGTCACTCCCCTCCCCCGCCTATATGAAGAAGATACGAGCTCTGTCTCGGAGACAGGCCGCGACGCTCTTCCAACTCCGTACCGGACACGCTCCCCTCAACGACCACCTATACCGAATCGCACGGGTCGACTCGAAGCGCTGTCCGGCATGCGACCTAGCTCCGGAGACGGTGATGCACTTCCTACTGCAATGCCCCGCCTATGCTTCGGCGCGCTCGCAACACTTGTCACACCTCGGACGTCGTGGCCGCACAATATCCTTCCTCCTCAATGCGCCGTCAGCAATGCAACCTCTCCTCAAGTTCGTCAGCGCAACACGTCGCCTGCAACACACCTTCGGCAATGTGGCACCAAAAGAGCCGAAACATCGCATAACATAGCATTATGGGAGGCGCAACCAGAAGACACAGCACCCTGCCCCGAGTGCAACCCATACCCCTTTTTCG